CTGGAACCAACTTCCAAGGGAAGTGGTGCTGGCCCCTACCCTGGGGGTCTTTAAGAAGAGGCTGGATGCCTACCTGGCTGGACTCATTTGAGTCCCGTTTCTCTTTTTGGGGTTTTTTGTTGTTCTCCCGCCCTGGCGGGGGGTCGGGCTAGAAGATCTACTAGGTCACTTCCGACCCTTAATCTATGAATCTATGCACCAATGGAGGCTGAATACTGTGCCCACCTGACAGCTGTTACAGTGCCTAATGTGAGGTAAGGTGTTAGCTACAGTCTACCTATAATTGTTTATAAAGTGTGTGTTACAGTGGCACTGTAGCATCTGAATGCAAAATTAAGCATAAAGTGAAATAGCTGCTTGGGAGCAGGCAATTCAAGTCTTGCCCTATCCTGCCCTGCCTTGCCCTGCAGTAATCCAGGCCCCAAGTTCCCATACAATTGCATCCCAATAATTAAAAGTGCTGGTAGCTTCCATGATAAAAGTGGTCCCTCCAGGGCAATTTTGAGGCACAGCTTGTGCATGGATTGCATATGTTCTTGAGATAAAGACAACTCCAGGCTATCCATCAACAAGGTATAGTCCACACATTTTCCATTTGCAAGAGGTAGCCAAAAAAAAGCCAAATTTTAAATTTTGATACTGAGAGTGATCTCAGCTGTTAATCCTGTCAATGTCCAATATGGCTCATCATCTGTGTAAAGTCACATTTTTGGGATGGCTGTTACTACTAGCAAAACAGAATCCAGTACCTTACCCAAAGTAATTTCATACTCATTCTTTATCGCAGACAGCAAAGGTTTGTAGGTTTTGAAGGCCTCTATGAAGAACTCAAAGATCTCTCTGTAAGGCTAACAGAAGAAAAAGAGAGAGAGGGAACACAATCAAGGAAGTTAATTTTCTTTATCTAGAATTCAGGGCTGGCTGCCCAGGCTTGTACAAGTGCTGTCTTAATGAATGTCTAGATTGTCATGTAGTTGCCCATATACTTAAAATTTAATAAAATAAGTACTACTTTCTTATATGCACATTAGGTCCCAAAGTATCTTAACAAAAATAACTAAAGATTCAGCACTGAAATGCAACCATACCCCTCTGCTCCCCACCTTGGATGGAGTGTGATAGGAAGGCCTGGGAGCAAGGGCAGCACACAGTCTTGGCAGCTAAATTATTTGCAGAATAATGGCTAAACTTTTCCCTGAAAGCTGTGATCAAGCAGGTGTGAATCTTACATTTAAAGATAACTACAGAATGTTTATTTCCAGTATCTCTAAAACCATTTGCATTTGGGACTTTTGCTTAATATCCATGGAAGTCCTGGAATCAGAATTTCCTAGTGACACTAAATTCCAGCAGAAATGCTAAACCAGACCTTACTGTAATCTAATATTATCTATAATCTAATATTATCTATAGCTTTTACTTTGTTTAACATATACATTTACTAGCTAATGTAAACTAAAGCAGCCTACAGCAATGACAAGTAACTGTAAAAGGAATATATGTCTACAAGTGTATCCAACACAAACTGCTTATATTTGTTCATTTCACTGTAACTAAAAACAGTTTATAGACAATGTCCCTGAAATTCACTACAGATCCCTGGGTGTGCCTCCAGATTATATATTTGTGAATGAAGGACTGCACTGTTGCTTCCCCTCTTGGTGTGTTTTTCTATTTAGAGCAGTGGTGGCCAACCGGCAGAACACATGCTGTAAGTGGCACAGGCAGCCAGAGTGAGTCTCTATGTAACAAAAGGAGCCTACTAGTGGCCAGTCACTATACTGGCTGCCCCTCTGTCTAAGGCAGTGGTCTCCAAACTTTTTTGATCACACACCCATATCAGTAAAAAAAATTTGAGCAAGCACCCCCAATATATATATATTTATATAAATATACATATAAATAGAAGTTCTAATATTTCTTCTCGCACCCCAATGGATCGTCTTGCGCACCCCACTTTGGAGACCACTGGTCTAAGGCAGTCTGCCTGTCTTGTCTGCTATGACTTGTTGAGATAAACCTGATGTAATAAGCAGGAGGCTGCCCCTTTAATGTCCCTATATCAAGGGGTTTACACATGGCTCCAACCTTCCCTTACCATGTCCCATGCCTTGCAGATGGCATCCATATTGCACAGTGCCTCACACTGACTCATGCTCTAGGGTGTTACTTGGGACTCTCATTCCCCTCTGGAGCTCACCGTCACTATGCCGCCACACTGTATATTAAGCTATTCACTGTAACTCCCCTGGCCCCTTACTGGCTGCTATCAGCCTTTAGCTCTGCTTGTCCCACGTATCTTTAAACATGCACTGCATGCCTTCTCACTGAGGCCCAGCTCTGCCTCTGGCCTACCTTCTCCTCCACCCCTCACTGGGGCAACAATTTACTCTCCTCACTGGAGTCCACTCACTCGAGCACTTTAGTGCAGCCCTTCAGGTTGCCCCTTGCCACCCTACTCTCAGGCCTCCCTTGCAGCCCTACTCCATTCCGCCCATTCTCTTCCTCTGCCCCCTCACTGAGGCCAACACTCTGCCCCGATGCCGGGGTCTTACACCCCTTGGGCTCACGTGCCTCTCCTAGGCATGCCTGGTCCCACTTCCTTCAGCGTCTTACACCCCATGGGCTCAGGTGCCTCTCTCTAGGTATGCATGGCCCCACTGCCTGCTCTTCTTGCCATAAGTTGTGGGGGCTGAGGTTATAGGTGCCCCTACCCACCTTTCACTGGGGAGTCAACTGGCCTGGCATTTCTAGGGAACTACCACATCATAGGCAGTCCCACCAGGCCATCCTTCCCCAGCAGGGTGCAGTTTTCAGTCATACCCAGGACCAGGAGCCTCCTGCCATCCCCATAGCTCCTGCTTTTACCTGCAAGGTATTCCTGAGCAGCTGCTCAGCCAAGTAGTGTCTTTCCAGCTGCCAGCAGCAGACTGCTCCCTCAACCCTGAGGGCCTGCATCTAAAATGGAGGTTGCTCAGCCCCCTCCTCCAATCCCAGGGCCTTCCTGCAGTCATGTGACTGCCTCTTTACCCTGGCATACACCTGCCAGCTGCCCTGATGTCTGCTCTGGGCCTTAAAGTGACAGGCACCAAAGGTGCTCTGTCATGAATGACTGGTGCCTCTTGAGACTGGGGGGGCACCATGGCAGTGAGTGGGGACTGCCCACAGACATCGCATTGGTGTTGATGGCAGGGGTGGGGGTGGTGAACAGCAAGCAGGGACCACCTACAGATGCTGCCAGCCATGGTGAGGGGGGGAGGGGATGCGAGTAGTGACCAACTGCAGAAGCCGGTGGTGGCTTATCTAGGGGTGGGGCACTTGCTCCTGTGCTCCCACCATGTGTTGCCTGTGTGCTCTGTCACACCCCAGTACTGAGTTAAAGGGGGTGCTGATGACAGGAATCATGGCAGCACTCAGAGAGGGGCAGGGGATCAGAGCAGCAGTAGAGGAAGGGTAGGTGTCACAGGTTGGTGGTAGCTCAATGGTTTGCCCCCTGAGGGTGTCCCAGTGGTGACAGAATTTGGTGGCACCAAATTATTTAAACAATAAATTCCATAAGGCAGGTCCTGGCTCTCACTCTGTGTATGAACAATAACAAGCTCAGTAGGATCAGATTTGGCTGGCAACAGCTTTGTAGTCTTACTGGTTGCAGGATGCATCTCTCTAGTGACAGTTGGTAAGCATTTAATTTAAGACAGATGGGGACATCTTCATGAGTGAATATATTTATGAAATCTCTCTCTTCTTTTGTCCATTTTCTTCCCTGACCATCCCACCATAACCATTTTCCTTTATCATCACCATACACCTGTTCTGTTTTGCACAAAGGAGTTCAAGATTCATTGGTGGAGAAAGAAAAAGGGAACATGACTGCAGCCTAATGGTTAGGGCAATCACCTGGGAGGGAAGACATGAGTCCTTGTCCATGCTCCAAGGACTGTGGCTGTGCTTTGTCAAATGAGTGTTTAATGTAGCATACAAAAATATCCTTGAATTAGGGACCACAATTTATGTCACCTTCTCCCAGGTGAATACTTTAACTACAGAGTCATGCTCATTATCTTCCTGCTGTTAGGAACAATGAATCTTTAATTATTTTATGCAATGTGAAGGATGGAGAATGCACTCAAAATATCCTATGGTTATAGCACTTTCTAGGAGGTGCGCAGTATTGATTTGAAAACCATAGAATGAAGACAGATACCTGAACCTACATCCCTCACATCCTGGACAAGCATTCTAACCACAAGACATTGTATAAAATTAGGGGGCCACCACCTTCTTCATCAGTATATTTCAATGAAAGTGGTGGCTACTATCTTGAACTCCTTTGTGTAGAACAGAACAGGTATATGGTGATGATAAAGCAAAATGGTTGTGGTGGGATGGTCATGGAAGAAAATGGATAAAAGAAGAGAGAGATTTCATATATATGTATTCACTCATGAAGATGTACCCACCTGTCTTAAATGAAAGACTTACCAGGACTGGGCTTCAAGGCAGACAGGCATTGAGACTATGGGAAGAATGCCTAGTTTGAGGAGTTTCTCTGTCTGGATAAGAGCAAGGTGCCCCCAGGCATGAACAAAGCAGATATCTAAGCACCCAGATAATTTTACCAGTGAGATTTCAGATGCATATGGATTTAGGTGGCTGCAAGGTTAGGTGTTTTGAGGCTTACAGTCTGGGACATAAGTACCTAAATTCCACCTAAATCTAAGGGCACCTATACATGAGCACAGAGGCTGCTCTGACGCACTGGAATTCTAGTGTGGCGGAGCAGACTCAACTAATTAAGTGTGCTGGAGCACGGCAATTTCTGTGCTCCAGCAGCCTCCTGTGTCTTGTGTATCAGTGTCCCTGTGCTTAAAAATGGTGGTGGGGGTGACTGAACTAAAGCTTGTTGAATGCGCTTTAGTTCAAGCAACCCCGCAGCCATTAGGCGTGGGGACACTGATACATGAGAGTCAGCAGCGCTTTAGTTAAAGCAGTTGTCGGAGCTGCTCTAATTAAAGCACCACCACCCCACCCCTGGAGCACATGTAAAAGTGCCCTAAGTGCCTAAGTCCTTTTGTAGATCTTTACCCTGGGGCTTTGAAATGTGAAGGGTTAAATGAGATGGTAAGTGAAGGTTTATATGAGATATACAAGCAGATACACTGATTTCTATGCAGTCCTTCAAACTACGATGCAAAGTTTGTTCTCTTCCAATAAGGGCCAAAAATGTCTTCTTTTTCCATGCACTTTTCCTTTAGGAACCTAAAAATGTCCAGATAAAAAAATCCATCTTGTTCTATATTGTTGTTTAGAGTCCCCATTACCCCCTCTCAAGCAGCTCACTATCAGACCTGAAGCTTCAGCTCCTGGGCATTATCTTTTGTGAGGTCCAGAGACTGTAATTCTTCTCTTAAATAGGATTCCATTTGCTCCAGGTATTGTGGTTTTGCAATTGTCAGAGAAGCCTGTTCACTGCTGCAGAAAGACAGAAAATGACAACCAAAATTCCAATACATCTATGAATTTACAATCAATGAGCTTTAGTATCTGGGTTCTTTTCCCATCCCTTTCCACTGCTTTACAGTGGATTGTTTTACCACAGTAGTACAGCTCTCCAAAAAGCAAGAGAAAAATCTCAATGTCCCAACTTTATCAAAGAAAGAGTGAGTAGATAAGAATGCTATCTAAATACCCTTCACCTAACAGCTCAGATTCAGTAAAGCTGTACTTGATGTGAAGGTAGCATTACAGAAAGGCTCAGGTAGTTCCCTAGTAAATATATGTGATAACAAATATTGGGGTCAAGCTGTATTTGTCTGCTAGGAGTACAGCACATATTGAAGGAGGGGGTAGGTTTTCTTCCATGAGATTTACTGTATTCCCACCTATGCCAAAAACTGTGGTAGCCATTTTAGTCCTCATTAAGGTAGGAGAAAAAAAAAATATTGCTGAATTCATTAAGATTTATGTGCGTTTCCCCCTTCTGTGTATGAATACAGCTCCACACAAATCTACTTCCCATTACTAATCTTGTGAACAACACAAAACTCCAATATGCCACCTGCGTGACCAAGTTGCTTCTTTCAGGAAAGGGATTAAAAACCCTAAATTGCTAACAACATAGCTCTCAGCTGCAATCTGCTTTATCCAGTCAGTTATCAAATTAATGCTAGTAACTGTAGTCAATTCTCTCCTGTACAGACATAACAATGCAACTAGATGCCTGGGGCAGCTGTGGCATCTGGCTGCTGCCGGCACACCTGTGTTGCTACAGTGGCAGCTGAGCTGTTTCTTTCTGACCTCCTTTCCCCAAAGTCAGTGTCCATGCTCCTTCCTACCATAGGAAAATGAGAGCTGGGACTGTGAAGTTCCACATGGAGAAAGGATTACTTCAGACCCAGATACTAATATTTTTTCAGCTCTCCTACAGTACATGTTCCCATGGGGAATCCTTTTGATATAAAAAGCAAGACCAGGGGTTCTGTGCATGAGGATATGGTAAATGCTAAACAATTGGTTTGAAGCAACTCAGGACAAAATACCAACTATTTGAAAGAGCTTCTTCAGCACCACATGCCTCTGGAGGTCTGGGGAAGTATTCCTTTCCTTGTCCCCTCAAGCACACTGCATATACTGCGCTAATTAAAACAGTTACGGTTAAAAACCTTCAAGCCTTTTTAGAAAAGTATCATTAGCAATTCTTGGTGGCTTGTTGGCCTCATATAATGTGCACTGGTGAATCAATATAGAATTACACTGTCAACTGCAGAACCAATCTGAGGTATTTCCTAACAAGAAGAACAATGAATATTAAATACACCCTTGATACTTCCTGCAGAGTTGCTGCTCAGGATTGGCTATGCTTCATTTTTTATCTTGAGGGATGCTGCCCCTATCTGAGGCTAGAATTCCCACTGGTGCAATTTAACCAGCAATCACAGTGGTGGGAAATTTGTTTTGGAGGTGCTGAGCACATGGGGGCCCAAGGGCCCTGGCACCCCTCAGGAAGAGGGCTGTCACCTGAAATGCATAAAACTTTCCACATGTCCATCATCTTCCATGTGTCCCCCCTAAAAGAGTCGGCACCTATGACTTGTTCTGTGATTCCCTGGTGTAAGTAAAACCTCTTTCTGCTGTCCTGGTACTTCCAAGCCTAAATTTCCCAGACCCAAAGTTGTATTTTCTCTTTCATGCTGTAACTCTTCCTGCCTAAAGCTTTGTTCTTACCCATACCTTCTCTTCTCAGGATCACAACAGGGCTGACTGTGCTGTAGGATTGCTTGCCCAGATGCATAGGCAGGCCATGTGGATAAATGACTACCAGCAGAAAACTGAAAGGGCTGAAAAGAAAGCAAAATTCACTTGTGAATCACTGTGCACAGGGTTTCTAAAAAAGGGGATGAAATAATAATCATTATCTTAATTATTAATTATATTGCAGTGTTTGGAGTGACGTTGTGACTGTGATGGTCCAAGAATTGTGAGGCAAAAATTTTGGGGTGATATCTTTTATGGGACTAACTGTATAGTTAGTTAGGATAACATTAGACAAGCTTTTGAATGAAAATTATTCTTCCTCAGGTCTGAGGAGAAAAGCAAATAAATGTGCCATAGAGCGCACACAACTGGAGTGGAGCCTTATGAAGGGCACAGAAGGGCAAGCATAGCTACCTAGGTTAAAATAAAATCTGAAGTCAGAGCAGTCTTTAAACTAGAAAGTGGAAGAAAGCCAATGGGTGCAAAAGAGCATGCAGACTGGGTTAACAGAAACCCAAAGGGGCACATCTTTCAGATTCAATATTGTTTTGAAGAGGATAGTTGGGAAGTTAGAAGTATAACTGTAGATAACAGTGAGGACCAGCCAGAACTTCTACAGTCCCAAACAAATAGCATGAGCAGTAACAGAGAGCTAAGCAAGGACAAAATTTATAAGCGTCTCTATACAAATGCAAGATACCTAAAAAATAAGATGGGTGAACTAGATTGCCTGGTATTAAATGGTGACTTCAACAAAATAGGCATCTCAGAGACTTGGTGGAAAGATGATAATCAATGGGATACTGTTCTAACAGGTTAAAAACCATGTAGAAATGACAGAGTAGGATGTGCAGGTGAAAGTGCAGCACTGAGTGTTAAGGATAGTATAGATAGTAACATCATAAAAATCTTACCTGAAAGGAAAACTACCAGAGTATCCCTGTGGCTAGAAATTCCATACTTGAATAAAATATATATAGTATCAGGATTGTACCACCAACCACCTAATCAGGAAGGTGAAGCAGATTATGAAATGCTCAGGAAGTTTAGAGAAGCTGATAAAATAGGGCAGGTAATAATAATGGGAGACTTCAACTGTCCACACATAGACCAGGTAAAAACCTCATGAGGGTGAGATATGAAAATAAAAGTTCTGTATGTGATAAATGACTGCTTTCTAGAATAACTCATCTTGGAACCCACAAGAGGAGGAGCAGTCCTAGACCTGACCCTGAGTAACACACAGAAGCCAATTCAAGAGATACCTGTTGGTGAGTCACTCTGTAATAGCGACCATAACATAATCCCATTCAATATTTGAGCAGGAGGGAGTAAGCTAGAAAAGTCTGTTATGGCAATATACAACTTTAGGAAATTAAACAAGAATGAGGAAGTTAGAAAAACGTTTAAAGGAGCAGTCAAAAATGTTAAAAGGCAGCTTGGAAGCTGTTTAAAAATACCATATTGGAGGCTCAGGAAAAGTATACACCACAAACCAAAAAAGGGGTATCAAGCGGACCAATAAAACCCTCACATCATTTAATAGCAGAGGCCATTCAAGGGAAAAAGCATCCTTCAAAAAATGGAAGGTGTGCCTAAATGAGGAAAATAGGAAAGCTCACCAACTCTGGCAGATCAAGTGGAAAAGAATGCAGGCCAGAAAAGAATGTAAGGAGTGTCTAGCAAAAGATACTAAAGTTAATAATAAAAAACTTTTAAAAATATTTCACAAGCAGGAAGTGAGCTAGGGGATCAGTGGAACTGTTGGATGACCAAGGTATAAAAGGTGCACTCAGGGATGATAAGGCCCTAGCAGAGAAGCTAAACAAATTATTTGCATTAGTTTTTACGGCAGAAGATACCGGGCAAGTTCCTATGCCAAATTATTCTCTCTCTTAACCAGAGAAGACTTTAAAGCACTGCCAGAAAATTAAAGATCTTCTACATTCACTCCTCTCAGTACCTCCAACCTCCCATCCTATACAGACATTTAAGGAATGAGGTGCTTCCTGGTTTGATAAAAAATGTGTAGAACAGAAAAGACCATTAAATAGGAAAAAGTCAGGGAATTAAGGAAAACTGGGTACACTGGAACAATGTTTTGGAGTGAGATTTGAAAGTTATGGAACGCATATAAACTACTTCTCCAGAATAAGAAAAAAGAATATTATAAATCAGCAATGGGATAAACTGAGGCTGGCAATCATTGCTAAAGATAGTAAAACCTTCTGGCTACTTGTATCAAAGGGAACAGCTAATTTTAATTATAACATTGAAAATAATATTACCGCAGACAGTTGGGTAGAATATTTTTCCAATCAGTGTACTTCTTATATGGAACAAATAAATAGAAATCTGGGGGGTAATAACCCCCCACTGATACAATTAAGTATTGGGTAACAAAGGACCAAATAGCATATCTCCTCAAATCACAACAGAAGAATAAAGCCCCAGGTCCAGATAGAATACCGGTGGAAGTTTACATTGATAACATCAAATGGTGGACTCTGATCTTGGAAAAATGGTATAACTCTAAAATTGAGTTGAGCCAAATCCCAGTGTCCCAGAGCACAACCACAGGGGAGCTGGAGACCCTCCCCTTGGGGGACCCTGGGACAGCAGCTACACAACCCATGGGAAACCCCCCCCCCAAAAAGAAACTACTTATCAGCCACAGGACACCAGACACCAAAAGAACAAAGAGTGAAGCCCACGTGGTTCACGAGCTATGCCTATATACAGCTGGAGACGGTGGGTGACGTCAGGAGCAATCACTGGCCAGAGAAGATAAAAGGGAGTGCCAGAACAGAAACAGGGAGAGTGGAAGAGGCAGCAGAGGCTCTCCACACTGGTGACAGACAGCGCACGAAGGAAAGAATCCAGACCAGAGAGCAGCAGCGAAGGCTGCGGAGGCTCTCTGCATCAGCAGCAAACAGCCCCGGTACAACGGGGTGGATTACACTTGGGGAGAGGTACTCTGAGTGGCAGAGAATAAACCCCACACCGGTCACGAGCAGCACCGGTGTCCAGGGGATGACCTCACTCCCGAAGGAGCCATAGCAGACCCGGAGGCGGTGGAGGCTTCCTACTCCAGGTTCTCATAGGTACCAAGCCATGGAGGGAGGCTGACCTGAGGAAAGGCAGAAGATACCTGTGGCAGGACACCCTTAGGGGTGCTATGACCTCCCCTAGCGGCCTTGCCTGTCGTGCCAAGTCTGGGTCCTGAATGCACCCTCTATCTCGCCCGCCACGTCTTGTTGTCACTTTATTAATGGGAGACTGCCTTCCTGCCCTCCTTGGCAGGGGGCCTGCCTTGCTCACGCTTCTCGCGCTCCTCGCCTGCACTGGGGCCCTTGCTCGTGCTCAGGGCTCAGGCGGCCTTAGCCTTACCTGGCCCCCAGACCCCTTCTAGGGTCCTATGCCCGACTCGGGCTTCTCCCGATTGGGGCTCAGGCGGCCTTAGCCTTACCTGGCCCCCAGACCCCTTTCCTGGGTCTTCCACCCACTGGGCTCATCCCGATATCGCCCGCACTGGGGCCTAGGTCGTGACACCCCAAACACAGCACCCCCTATGGCGCTAGGACCCCCCCCCCACTCGGGAGCTCCTAATAAGGCCTCCTCCACCCCTACAGCCTCGCCTGGTCCTCCGGTTCGTAATTACAACTATCAACTCCAAACAGAAACTCAAAGCCCCGCGGCTACAATGTAAATCTTGGGCCAACCTGGCTAATCTTCTCTCATCCCTGTCAGGGTCCTCTCCACCCTGTATCCGCACGCCAACGCACAACACTGCCTTGCTTGCTCTAGCAGGGCTCCTGCTCCTTAGGCTGCCAGAGGGGAACTGACTCTGGCCTCGGCCTTCTCTGTTTATGTAGGCCAGGCCCTGCCCCCTTCTGGTCAGCTGTCCCAATCAGTTGCCTTGGCAACCCACCTGTGCTGCCCCTGTGAGTGGAAGCTGAGCCTATATTCCTGTGTTCAGTAGCAGGCACCCTAGTGCCCTGCTACACACCTCCCCCCCTTCAGTTCACAACTCACCGAGCCGAGTCTTCCGCGTTGTTCACATTACGACCGCCTGTGCATCTCTCAGGCTCGGGTTCTTGTTCTTCGGTCTTCTCCCCTTACATTGGTGGGGGTTTTGAGGCGCCTCCTCCTCCCCTTTTACCCAAGGGGCAACATGTGGTATTTCTTGGGATTTGCCCCGCCATAGGCAGTCCCCCCACATTAGCTGACCTTGGTACATTACCTTCCTTGCTGGTTGAGACCCGGCCTACCCCCTGGGGGTCTTCTCTCTCTCTCCTTCCCCGGGGCCATCCACTTTCTCTTCACACACTCCTGGATCCTTTCCTCTGGGCAAACTGTACGTTCTCTTGTTTCTCTCTAGCTCTTTGGAGATCTTGGAGCCTTCCCCATATCTCCCATTGCCTCCTTAATGCCTTCTGGGCATACTCCTCCCTCCAAAATTCAATTCTCCCCTGGATTGTGGGTCTTCCTACCGACCCTTTGTAGATCTTAACATGAGCAACTCCCCCAACTTTCTCCTCCACGATGTTTCTCAGCATCCACCAGGTGACCTGCTTAGGGATATTGTTCACATAAACCCCCGGTCTTCTCTCAGGCCGGGGTCCCCTTCCAGCGGGTCGCATCTTTCTCCTTATTTCCTGTTTCTGGGTACCAGCTAATTCACTGGGGTCACTTGACTTCCCACCTGCCCAATCTACCTTGGGCTCCAAGTACCCTCGGCATAGAGTCGTCCGCGCCTCACCTGGGTTAATCCAGCAATAGGCCTCACTTTCTGGGGGGACTTGTTCCTCCTTATTTATTCCCCTGACATCCCTCAAGTCTATCTCCGTTTGCTGTTCCTGGGTGAGCCCTATGCTTTGTCTCTCCACTTGTAGGCGAGCCCATTCCTTTAGTCTTTGCCGTAGCCGGCTCATCTCATTCATACACCTCTTCTGCCACTGGTTCCATTCCTGGTCTCAATGTTGCAGGAGGTCTAACAGTGTCTCCGCTCATGAGAACCCCAGCTTCTCCTCTGTGGGACTCCCCTCCCTGGTAACTTTCCCCAGTTGCCCTGGCCCAGCTTTCTCTTTAGGACCTTCTGGACCCTTGGCCCTGGGAAACTCCTCCGGCTGCGCCTTTGCTGCTCTTAATATTTTCTTTGTGGTCCATCTGTCTTCCTGGCGGGTTTCAATGGATGGAACTTGCCCCACCAGCTGTTCCTTTCCTTCCTCTACCCCCTGTAACGGGCTATGCAACTCATGGGGGTCTTGTGGATTCCCTGCACCTTGCTCTCCGGGGTACTTTGCTGGCTTTACATGAGGCAGCATCCTAGCCCGGGCAAGTTCTAGGAGACTTTCTACTTCCTTCAAGGCTTCTCTCAAGACCTCTA